AGGAATATCACTTGAGCATACTTACATATACAGTTAGAAGATTCACTGGAAGAAAAGCTCCGGAATCAGTTGTTACTTCTCAATAAAGGAACTGTTTACTTACTAACGAAACGTATAAATGGTTAGGAAACAAAGACTGTAAGGTTGAAGTGGGCCATGTGGTCACAATTTTTTTTAAATAAAATTTGTTGATTTTTTAATCTCAATTTTTATATAATTTTCTAAAATGTATTATTTTTTCAGCTTTTATAGGGCTTTCAGTTGACTTGTATACAACTGTTATCATTGAAAAGTTGATCAAGTATAGTAGTGTCATAAGAGATAAAAGTTTGTGTGAGGTGCCATAAATACATTTGATGGTTAAGTTTTGTTTTATGGTTTGAAATATTTTTTTTTTCCTAGTATCTTAACTGTTTATGTAAAAACAATTGTTAAATTATTATTGTTATTGTGAGATATATGATAATGTTTACAGGTAGGGTGTAACATTTCTTGCTGCATAAGGTAAAGCAGTATTAAAATATTAATGCATATCTGTTTCTTTGTTTTTTATTGAGCAATTGTAGCATAAATTAAATTTGAAAATCACTTTTTACATGAAACACACACTCAGATTGGTAAGAAACAAAAACTGATCATGTACTCATTTTTCTTTCAACAAACACTTCAGGAGCCGATATGGATGTCTGTTTGACCAACTATGGACACTGTAATTACGTATCAGCTAAACATGCATGCATTTTTTATGATGAGGTGAGCTGATCTGTTATGTATGTAGTTAATAGCAGTTAAGTGACCTTCAAGATTAACCCTCTGCACATGGGTTCAGTCATTCTGACTGACCTTGTAACCACCAGGTAACCATGAAAGTATACGTACTATAACTAAATTTACTAGGTGTACCTTCATGGAAATTTGGTATACTTTTAGTAAATTTTACAAAAAAATATGATTTTTTAATTAAATAATTGTATTAAAGATTTGTTTGTGAACATACAAAGCCTTTGCTGAGTCAGTCGGAGTGCGAGGTGATTTTCATGTTAAAAATAGATACCTTTTTCATCTAGCAGTTTTTATATTTCATTTGCATAACCTCTAGGACCTCCTAAATGAATATAAACATTTTTTTTAGTCAATCTTTGTATTTTATGTTATTTTCTCTATCATAACTGTGTATCTGGGCTCGGTCCATTTGACCAACCTTGTAACCACCACATAGAAATACTAAATAAACCTAAAGAAAACTAAGTAGTAGTCTTAGTCTACTTTAAGACTAAGACACTCCTTAAGTAGTAGTAAGAAGTAACTTAAAACTTGCTATTTTGAACTGTTGTTTGTGGTTTATGAAATAATTTTTATTTATTTCAAATATGCAATATATAACATGAAATATTATTACACACAAAAATATAGAATGTCTTAAACCTACTGTAATTTAACAGGTTTTCTAACTAAACTATAATTGGGTTAAAAAATTTCATTATTTGGTCAAACTGATCTGCAAAATAGTAAACAATACTGAGGTTGAAAATTTCAAAATATGTCATGTGGAACAATATAGCCTTATAGGAATGTAATAAATTGGAATCTTCTCCCTCTGTTGGTTATATACAATCCAGTAGCAAATGTCAAGAGAATTATTGACATTTTTTGAAAAATCTAATAGAATAAAAGGGATGGGGCATGTGGACTTGACTGTCTTGTATATATCTCAGTAAAGCAAGGAGCTTGGAGGCTGGAAATTTACATTATGGCTTTGCGTTAACTATACTATAAGTGTATAATTTGTGCCAGATTCAGAAGATCATATAGCGGCAGAAAGAAAATCTAAAATGGGCAATTGGGAGCAAAGGAGTATCACATGATATAGGGGAGTGAAGATTGAGAATTTATTTAAGTACTTCTTTTTGAATTTAGGGAAATAAATTATAAGCTGTGTTTGATGTCAAGTTTATTGACATACATTGATAATAATGTTGTTTAATTAAATTTTAACCCTCTCTTTATGGACATGTTTTTCTGCACGTGTCAAAGGTTTTAGTGGGTTATATTTAAAATTTAATTAAACTACTTTTTTTTCATGGTATACCAATAAATATAACATAAAACATAACTAATAATCCATATTTTAATAATATATACTTTTTCAGTTCTTACTTTTGTAAGGCAATACTAGAAAAAAACTATAATTTCCCCAAGGTGTGGGAATTGCGACAATTGCTTTCTAGGCATCCCCTCTTCTCTAATTTATTTACCACCCCTCCAAGAGGTACGAACTTTAACATAAATTACTTAATATAATATCGCCATCCCTCAAGCAAAGCATAATTTCCATAGCCTTCATTCTTATTTGGTTAAAGAGTCATGAAATAGACAACCATATCCCTCTTGCCATGCCCACTTGTCACATCCTGTCTTTCAGAAATTGCCAATAGTACTGTATTATTTCTAACCAATAGAAAGCCAAGGTTTTCATCTATCAAATGACATATTATATTATGTTGTTTTTTGTAAAGAGAATTGTCAATTTTGCTTTGAGTTCAAGCTTCATTCCCATGGAAAACACATCATTGAGCTTAGATGAAGTTTTAACAGCTCTTGTCACACAGTTAGAAAGCCAGAAAAATTGTGGTAGTTATGTGACAGTGTCTGCTTTTTGCACATTATTATTCTGTGTTCTTTGGTGTATTATTTAATTAAGTTGAAATATTTAGTGTAATAGTATCATTAGTATAAAATAGTTGGGTTAAGTGTTATCGACAGTCGAAAGCAAAAAAAGACCCAGATAAGTATTTTTTTCATGTGTATTCTTTATTTATTATTATAAAAGTAACTAAAATGTAAAAATAAGAAACTTTTTATACTAGTTATGGTTAGATTAGGTGAAATAATAATAATAGTTTAATAAAATTTTGT